AGGGCAAAGACTCCCCTGAGGATTGAGTTCAGCCTTGTAGATTCAGTCCAGGCAGGTTCAGTCCCCTCCTCCCAGGTTGAGTCAATAGTCTCTGTATAAGCTCCAGTTTCCAAATTGCCAGTTCATGCACTAAGGATAGGAACTGGTCGCACTGTCTGGCTGCCTCCCAAGCAGATTAAGCTAATCAACTGTCTTATTTATCCAGAGGGCCTGATCCAGTTGGGTGCTCCTCAGCTATTGGTTCATAGTTCATGTGTTTCTTTTTGTTTGTATATTTGTCCCTGTGCTTTTTCCAAACTTTGTATCAACAATTCTCGCTCATACAAACCCTTGTCTTTCTCGCCAATTGGACTCCTGGAGCTCCTCCTGGGGCCTGGCCGTGGATCCCTGCATCCAGTTCCCTCAGTCATTGGATGGTGTTTCTAGCATGACAATTAGGATGTTTGGCCAGGTGGCCTTCAAATACTTCAGAGATCTATTCAGAGGGCCTCATCCAGTTGGGGGACCCTCAGTCTTTGGTTCATAATTCATGTGTTTCCATTCGTTTGGCTATTTGTCCCTGTGATTTATCCAACCTTGGTTTCAAAAATTCTCACTCATATAAACCCTCCTCTTTCTCACTAATTAGACTCCCAGCTCTCCACCCGGGGCCTAGCTGTGAATGTCTGTATCCAGATTCCTCAGTCCTTGGATGGGGTTTCTGGCACAACTATTAGGGTGTTTGGCCATCCCATCACCAGAGTAGGTCAGTCCCGGTTGTCTCTCAACCATTGCCAACAGTCTTTTGTGGGGGTATCTTTGTGGATTTCTGTGGGCCTCTTTAGCACTTTGTTTCTTCCTTTTGTCATGTGGTCTTCATTTACCATGGTCTCCTATTCCTTGTTCTCCCTCTCTTTTCTTGATCCAGCTAGGATCTCCCGCGACTGCTACTCACACCACCAGTGGAAAACAGGACCCCAAGAAAGACATGAGGATCGCCCAATGACAGAGAAATGGCTGAGATCTACATGCACAACCTGGACATGAGTGGGAGTAATGAAGGGCGAGAGTCGAGGGAAAGAAATTTGATCCTTTAATCCTATCCCCCTCGTCCCACATATTGTTCACCTGTCCCAATTTTTACCTTTGTCATAGTTTCAGTTTTCTAATTCTTCTGCCTTGTCTTCAAGTCTGCCATATTGTCTTCAACTTGAAATAATCTGTTAGTGAGAATTTTTATTGAATTTATTTTCCTTTCTTTATATATTTAATTTGAATTATTTCATTAGTTTATACTTTTTCAAATGTGTTAGTCACATGCTCACTCAGTTCCTCATTGTATGTAAGGTTTTGTGATCTCATTGCATTCTTCTGGAGATGATTTGTGTCCTATTTGATATTCTGGAATACTGTTAAAATAATTCTTTGGATTCTTTCTTTAGTATGTCTTTGAACATACTCACATATAAGCTTATCACTCTGACATTTGGATTTGTATTGATTTGATTTCATTATATTTTGTTCCCGTTTACTACATAGAAAATTTTATGTCTAGGAGTAGAGCACTGCTTGAATTGCTCCTAAACTTCTGTATGCCTCCAGTGGATGTTTTTGTAATGCTCAAGTGAACTTGGTTAGAAAATAGTTGAAATGTCATTGCTGTTCTCTGAATGGATAGAAAGTAAAGTTTTTATACCTTCAGCTCATATGTCCTCTTCCCTGACAATAACTGCCCTTGTTATTTTGAAAATAATATTTTGTAGATTTTATACTATCTGGTCTCCATGAGATACTACTTTATATCAAGCTTGAAGACTTTTCTGATGTTAGCTTCTTTAAATTTCAAGCTACTTTATAGTCAGGAAGTTGGAATAGAATACCATAAAACTACCTACATCACAAGTCATACCTGTATCATACCATAGACTTATAGTAGAATAAATCATTTATAAATTTTCAAAAAACATTTATTTTGTTTATAATACTTCCTCCCCATACACATAAGGAAATTAGACACACCCTTGTTTGGGTGGTCTTTGAAGGAATTAGTGGAACCAAGAAACATTCCTCTAGTGAGCAATTTCTTTTACGCAGGACATGCTTCAGGACTGGAGAACTGGCTCAGCTGTCTGTAACAATTCCTGATCAAGTAAAAGGCCCAGTTTGATTTTTAGCACCCACTGTGTGGCCCTGCACTGTCTCCACTTCCCAGGGATCCAAGTCTATATGCATCTATAGGCACCAGGCATACCAGTGTTGCAGAGACATATATGCAGACAAGACATACATTCACATTTAACAGAAAAAAGAAGGAAAAAATAAAGATCAAAGTTATTATCCATAGGGTATATAAATGTGTTATGAAAATATTATCTTCAGTATCATTAGAGATGATGATTATCTAGGACACTTTTGGAAGAAAGGTTTAAAGCAAATTATATAATAACAAATAATGGTTTGAATGTGTTCACTTTAATCCAGGTTATATTTACCCTCAATCTTTCATTATCTATGTCAAAGGTTCAGCAGACAAAAGGACAATCACTGTGTAGTAATCAGGATGGCATTGAGAGGATATTGCTCACTTTATTGGAAGTAATATAGTACAGTGGTAACAATCAATTTTCTTTTTATATTAAAAACCAGAAACATATTCTGGAGTGATAAAAATTCACAGTATGTGTGGCATGCATGTCTGAGACCATCAAAGAATTAATAAAATGTCATATCAAAAACTGAAATTAAAAAATATAAATTTGGAGGCTAGAAAATACTTCTAAATGTGACAATTTATTTCACTACCTGACAGTTTTACCATGGTGTAACAGAAATTATTACAGATAGATCAGACCAACCTGTCTATTTCCAGTGGACCACTCTATCACATCTTCATATATATGGAGCTGTTCACCAAGTGGGAAATATGGACTATACTCTCCTATCTTCACCTTAAATCCAAATCCATTTGGGAAATTCCAAATCTGAAAAATGTCATACTCTCCCTGCAGGTTTTCCCTCTGGTTCATATTCACTTTTTCTCCAACAGGATTAGTGAAATGAGTCTTCCTCAGAAAGGAGTGCAGCTGAAAGAGAGGCAGCATTCTATAGTGTGTGTGCCCTTCCTTGATGTCAGAAAACATACAATGATTTCTTCTTAAAAGCAACATTATTGAAGGAAGGTGTCCAAGGGAGAAATAAAATAAAATTAAGTGGATAAATGAAAGTATCATAACATTCCTAGAGTTAAAGTTCTTTCAGAGGAAATTACCAAAAAGAAACCCAGATATGCATACATGCTAACATACAGATAGAAAATATTGATATGCAAAATGCACATACACACATAATGAAAGAAACACACAGACAAAAAACACTCACATCCATACAGTCTTACATACATCCTACAGCTATATAAAATTTACACATACTTATATACATATACATGTCAGACACACACATGAAAATACAGTAATAAACAGACAGACACATGAATACAAAGAGACACAAAGAAACAGAAACCTGCAAAACAGAGGCTCACACACAAATGCACACTTTTTATAGACAAATACACACAATGAGACATGCACAGATAGACGCAATCACACAGAGAGACATTGACATAGAAAAATTTATGCTCCCATCCAAAGATAGATTGACAGACAAAGATACAGAGAGACACACAGAAACACAGATACACATATGTGCAAGCACATATGCAAATCACACAAATAGTCACATGTAATGAAAAAACACACAGGAAGTTATATACAGAAACATACTCCCATACAGAAAGACACTGACACAAGACAAATTTATGCTCAGTTCCACAGATAGATAGATATGCAGATAGACAGAAACACATATATACGCAGCAAAATAAATATACACACAGAAGCACAGAAACATACACCTACACAGTGGGAACCGTCCATTCACACATGTAAATACTCATGTATGTTTTGAAACGAATTATAGCACTGTTGCCTGTGTAATTACTCTCAGAGTACCAAAGAAGTTCCACAGATCTTACAGTGGGACAGAATATGATCTGTTGAGAACACTTGTAAAAACCATTTGATATACTTATTACCACATATTTGACAACTGATGAACAAGGGCTCTTCTTCTTTTCATGGAGAGGATTAATGAGGAAGGACAGTTAGGTTTCTGGTGTAGAGCAGGGGCAATGATATTCAGATGCTCTGTAAGATAATTACTAATATTCCTTGATAATTTGTGTCTTCCACTCCATTGCTTCTGCATTATGATTTATACCAACCTCTACATTAGGTTTTCAGAAATATGTCTATTTTATTAAACATTTACTAATCCAGTAAATCAGAGCATCTGACAGACTGCAAGGCAATGATATTAATGACACAATATTTCATTCAATAGAAGAAACACTACCTTCAAGCAGTTACCATAGTGTCCTTTCCCATCATCTACTTGTTGAAGAAGCATCTCATGGACAGCATGGGCCACAGTGTACACAGCATTATATATATCATAACCGTCATCACTAAAAGCCATGTCGAAAGGCTGTCTCATTAGCCATTGCAATGAAGCATTGGATGAACAATTCTTCAGTGTCTCACACTTAGAATCTGAGACCTCACAGTTAAAGTTCATCCACCCCAGCCTTGTGAGGTATTCATCTGAGTATTTGAGAGGGTTCAGTGTCTGGACAAATTTTTTAAAACCAAAAATCTCAGAATGGTGGTGTATAAAAGATAGTGTCCCATGCGATGAGTCAATGGCGAAGTCTCTCTTACTTGTAGTGACATCCCACTGTGAAGTGGTCACCCATATTCTCTTTATACCTAGAGATTCCCACATTCTAAAGCTCACAGCTAGAGTACTGTCTGTGTCACCATAAATGATAACTATATTTGTGGATGATGTCATGATTTGGTTATAATACACTTCTGCTCTTGACATGTATACGTGCATGTTGACTGGGATCATACTCACAAAGGCAAAGCAGACTGTATTTTTTTCCATCTCTCTTCTCAAATGTGATAGAAATTGGGTACCCTGGTCATTATCTAAGATGGCCAGTCCTATCCAGTTCCAACTGAAGTGAAGCATCAAAGAAACCATGGCCAGGGGTAGAGCTGTGTCTTTGCGGGCCATCTGATACAGATAGGGAAATTTCTCGTGATCACTCAGGATAGGATGGAAAGGTCCATAGGTAAGCTGGAGGATCTAGGACACAGGGGGTTATATGAAGTAGCATGCACTCCTAAGAACTTATAAACAAACTTTGAACAAAGAGTTCTATAAAAACATCTTACCTGTTACTTCTTTCCTCATCTCAATTTCAGAAAAGAAAATGAAGCCCCATCAAGTCTCTGAAAAGTACCCTTGACCACATTGTTTAACATAAGCGTGAGACTAGTATCCTCCTCACACCCTTCTTAGCCTCTGGGAGTGGTACCAACAGAATCACAATTTCTTGCAAACCCACACCACAAATGTCTCACCTGTTGAGATCTGTAGGGGTCCTGGCTTGTCCCAACCATTGCAGATGTTGCCCAGTCAGGTCCACTCAGCACCACTAAACAAGTAGTCTCTTCATTACAATTATAATTAAGGTAATAATCTTGATTTTTTTCAGAAAAAGGCATGCGACTGTATAATTTTGGCACAGTCTTACAACCACCTTCAGGGAATTCAAATACGAATGACATATTTGGCAAAAGATCAGGGTTCCTATTGACTTCATCCAGGGAAAAAGCTAAGGCCAATGGAAAGTGTTTGTTTTCCGTTGGTGTTCTGGAAAAGGGTATGGTATTTATTATGGACAGAGATCTACAAATAATCCTTTGTAGTCAATAGAAGGACTATAACAAACTGGATGGTATTCCCAACCACCCCCAAATACTGAAACAAATGTCCTCTGCTGTGAGGTTGGAATGAAATAATAGCTGGAAGTTTATAATAGCTTTTAAATTTCATGAGAGTGCAACTCACATAAATGACATGAGCCATTGGCATCTTCCACAGAGAGTGGTGTCCATTTCTGCTTTGGGAGTTCTTACTTAGCAGATAAAAACAAAGACACAGGCTTTATCCAAGCAGCAATACCAACTTGTGTTTCTGTTTATGTTAAGAAAAATAACTTACGTTTCTATTTCAGATTTGTGACAACTTCACTCTGTGTATATAAATCCTATGAGACTTGCATCTGAATGTGCATATGCCTAAGAGAATTCTGTACCCAGTAATCATATTTGTTAATTTTCATCACTGGTTTAATCATTTGTGAATTGCATATAAACTATTTATTTAAAGTTCTATAAAATCAATGAACATAGTGTAGCTAAAAATCACGTGGCCAGATGGTAATGGCACACTGCTTTAATTGGAGCACTCTGGAGGCACAGGCAAGTGGATCTATGTGAGTTTAAGGCCAGCCTGTTCTATAGCATGAGTTTCAGGACAGACAGGACTGTTACACAAAGAAACCCTCTCTCAAAAAGGCAAAAAAGAAATCACTCTGTATATAATTATTTGTGGTAATTAATGAAATGAAACATTTAAAATTTTATGAATGAATTAGAAACTGCAATAATGAATCTTTGTTTATATAAAAAAAGAAAATACTTTTAAAGGAACTATTTTCTTTATTTTCTCTTCTTTTAAGGGGTATCAAGGTTGATTCTTTATTTTCTGTATTCTGAATAATGCTGAAATAATGTTGGGCAGACAAGTATCTATGTGCTATGCTGACTTATATATGCTGACTCTCGGAAAATTCCATAGATGGTGTGAATGGACCTTAGGATATTGATACATTTACTGACTGAATTAGATATATGTGCTTACAACATTGAGAACCTTAGTTTCTACTCATACTAAAACAATGATGGGATTTCCCACAACTCCTACATGCTCATGAATTTATTTCATCTTTTTTAGCTATTCATTCTCAATGTAAAGTTGGACATCTTAATTATGGTTTTTCCATTATTACAGCTAAAACATTTGAATGTACTTTCAATTTTCTTATATGATTTAAAAAAGAAAGTGAAAAATACCTGTTATAAAAAGGTCAGCATTACTAATTTTTAGTGTTGGCCATGTACTTGTAAACTGCATTCTTCATGTCGAGGCAAGTCCCTTACATACCTATTCTGTTCAGGACTTTTATGATTAAATGGTGTTGGATTTTGTCATCTAATGAGATATCATATGTTCTTTCTTTTTTTTCATTTTGTTTATATGTTTGTACATACCTTAGTAGGTTTCCATACATTGAACCATCCCTGCATCTCTGGGATGATCATTTGGATGAGATATTGGACTAGGTTTACAAGTGTTTTATTGAGTATTTCTGCATTGATGTTCACCAGGAAAATTGGTCTGCTATTCTCTCTTTATTGGGCTCATCTGTGGTTTGGCAATCAGGGTAACTCTATCTCATAATATGAATTAGATAATATTGATTTTGTTTCTGTCTTGTAAAATAATTTTAAAAGAATTGATGTTAAGTCATCTTTGAAAGTCTAGCTCCATTTTCCACTAAAACCCTATGACTGTGGCCTTCCCTCTCCACTTGGGAGACTTATGAAGACTGCTTGTATTTCACTAGATTTTATAGGTCTGTTTAAATTGTATATCTGATATTGAGTTAAGTTTGGTAGGGAGATCTATTGAGAAACCCATCCATTTATTTTAGATTTTCCACTTTGGTGGAGTACAGGTTATGGAAATATGTTCCTATGATTCTCTAGATCTCCTTGGTGTCTATTGTTTGCACCCCTTTCATATCACATTTTTTTAATCTGAATATACTCTCTGTTTCTTTTAGTTCGAATAGATAAGGATTTGTTTATCTTGCTAACTTTCTCCAATAATAAGATCTTTGCTTCATTGATTATTTTTTTCACTTTGATTCTATTTTATTGATTTCAAACATATGTATGATTATATTTTCCTCTCTACTCCTCTAGGGTGAATTTACTCCTTTTTTGCCAGAGACTTTAAGCATCATGTAAAGTTGCTAGTGTGTGATCTTAGTATTTTTATGCAGGCAACTATTGCTACGAACTTTCCTCTTAGTACCACTTTTTTCTTGAGTCCCACTCTTTTGGGTATGCAGTATATTCATTTTCACTGACGTGTAGGATGTCATAGTTTTTATTTGTCCCTATGTACTTTTCATTCACTAGAGAGTTATTCAGTTTCCATGCATTTTTATGAATTCTCTTGCTGTTGTTTACATCTATATTTAATTCGTGATGGCTTGATATGATGTATAAAGTTATTTCAAGTTTCCTCTATCTGTTGAGACTTGCTTTGCTTCTGATAATGTAGTTAATTTTGGAGAAAGTACCATGATGCACATAGAATGTATTTTCTTTTGTGTTTTGGTGAAATATTCTGCAAATATCTGTTAGGACCATTTTGTTTATAACATTTGTCAATGCCTGTATTTCTCCTTTAAATTTTGTCTGGATGACCTATCTATTGTTGGGAATTGGCAATTGATCCTCCCACTGTCAATGTTTGTGTTCAATATATGATTTAAATGTATTGGTTTTCCTCTGATGAAATTTGGCAACCTTGTCTTGGGGGCACAGATGTTAAGAATTGAATCAGGCAGCAGTGGGGCAAGGCTTTAATCCCAGTATCTGAGAGACAGAGCCAGGCAGATCTCTGTGAGTTCAAGGCCAGCCAGGTCTACTGAGTGAGAACCAGGACAGGCTCCAAAACTACACAGAGAAACCATGTCTTGAAAAAAAAAGAAGAATTGAAATGTCATTTTTCCTTTGATGAGTATGCAATGTCTTTTCTAACGCTTTTGAATAGTTTTGGTTTGGAGTCTTTTTTGTTAAATATTAAAATGTCTACACAACCTTGCTTTTTTGTGCATTTCCTTGAAATAACTTAATCCAACAATTTATCCTGAGGTAATATCTGTCCTTGATGTTGAAGTGTGTTTATTGCATGCAGCAAAAAGATGAATCCTGTTAAATAACTGGTATGAAATCAATTCATTTTATGTAGGCAGTTAGTGACATGAACTTGCCTCTTACAAAGGCTATCAGTATATCTAATGTGTTTGTGTACACTGTATGTTCATTTTTTAATGAATTCTAGAATGTGTTCAATGTCTTTTTTCTCTTTTGATAAATTTTTAATTTATTAGGAAATTGTTAATTTTCCATGATCTTGTAATCCTCATGTTGTTACTATCGTTTTTATATGCAGCTTTAATCCATGATGAGCTGACAGAATGTAGTGAGTTTATTTTTTTAATATTCATTTATGTGTTGTGACTTGATTTATGTCTAAGTGTATCATTAGTTTTGGAGAACGATTTTTGAAGTGCCAAGAGGAATGTATATTATTTTTTGGTTGTGTGTAATGTTCTGTAAAATCTGTTATGTCTATTTAGTTTACAAATTATATTAGTTCCAGTATTTCTCTGTTTACCTAATGTGAGACAGATCTGACCATTGGTAAAAGTGGGATATTGCAGTCTCCCACTCTATGTGTATGAAGGTCAATATGTGAAACTATATTTGTAATTATTTTGCAAACTTGGGTTCCCTTGTTTTGAGGCCATATATGTTAAGAATTGAAATATCATCTTGGTGTGTATTTCCTCTTATGAGTATGTAGTGTCTTTTTCAATTTCTTCAGATTGGTTCTGGTTTGAATTTCTATTTTGATTTATATTGAAGTGAATACACAAACTTGTTTTTTAGCTCCATTTTCTCAGAATATCTTTCTCCAAACTCTTACCCTGAGGTAATGTTGATCCTGGATATTGAGGAGTCTTTATTGGATTCTATAAACAGATGAGTAATGTTTTCACATCCATTCTGTTATTCTGAGTCTTTTTATCAGTAATTTGAAACCATTCCTATTGAAAGAAATGAATGAGAAGTGAGTGTTGATTTCTGCTATTTTGTTTTTTTTTTCATTGTAGCTTTGGAGGCTGTGTGTTGCTTGATAGAATTTTTTTTGCCATAATGATATAATTGTCCACTAAGTTCATGTAAAACATATTTTTAGATATTGGGAGCTGAAACTGACTCATGAAGATGGGCCATGTGGGGAAATCTGAAGGGTTCCATTGAAGAAAGAAAGGCAAAAAAAAAGAAATAAAAATAAAAATAAAAATGGGTTGGGGATTTAGCCCAGTGGTAGAGGGCTTGCCTAGCAAGTGCAAGACCCTGGGTTTAGTCCTCAGCTCTGGAAAAAATAAGAAAAAGAAAGAAAGAAAGGCAGGTTTTCCCCACCCATATGTCTTAGTCTCATAGGAATGACTTAGAGAGTCAGAAAAGTGCAAACCATAATGTCTGTTTTAAAACTGAGGATGGTAATATATGATTTGACTGGGAAGAATGGAAGGAGAGGTGAATATCTGTGGATAGCCAGTCAGCTTCTCTGGCCACAGTGTACTGGGTGATACATAGGTATAGTTGTTCAGGTTGCATGACTGGGATAAAAAGCATAGAGAATGGAAAAGCAGGAAGATCTTTGTGACCCACTGGAGAAGTTGATGTGGCTAGCTGAAGCATGTAGTCAGCTACAGACATGGGTTTATGACATAGCATTGTGTTTCCTGTGGAGCTGAAGGAAAGGTAAACATTTGCAGATAGTTTTTATTTTCTCCTGGCTGGAGAGGGCTTTGAGTATCCAGGAAATGTCTCCTGGAATTTGGGACTGTGTTCATTAATGCAATGAGTGGTAGGAAGGAAGCTAGAAGGGGAAGATTTCTGTGTTCCACTAGCTACAGGGTCAGAGATAGAGAATTGAGTCCACATCAGGTAGGGTGCTGCTG